CTCTTGGGCTCCCAGAGTGCTAGGATTATAGTCATGAGCCACCTTGCCTGGCCAAAGAGTTATATTTTGGACCAAAATTTCCTGAGCTCTTTCATGTCCTTTCTTTTAGGTTAATGTGTGAGAATACTGTACAATTTATGAATGATTTGGAAATCCAGGGGTCTTAAAGTAAATTTAAAAATAATTATGAAAAATTTCACTTGTTGCTTCCTTTCATGTTTCTCCCCAGAAATATCTGTTTAGAAGGAAAAATTTGGGCCTACTCTATCTTCTTTTGTTTCCTTTCATTTGACCTGATTAGGGAAGGAGGGGCTGCAAAATTGGGTTGGTCATTATACCTTGATAATTTAGTTGCAATTCAAGATGTTCTCTTATAAGAATTAGCAAATAAATTACTAAAATCAGTATCAAGCTGGCCAACTGGAGCCAGCTTTTGACAGAAGCTCCCATGCAGAGGGAAGGATTATGAGCAGAAAGTATCCCAAAATGCTGAAGACTGGGATCCAAGCTGAGAGAAAAGAGTGATAACTACACATCTCACCTCTGCTGAGGCAAGCTGCAACTCCAAGAAAGCAAATTTCAGGTACAAAATTCATCTCAGAGGAAAAGTATCTGCCCCCTCCCCCAAGAGTAGTGTTTTTATTTTTTATTTTTTTGGCTTGCTATAGGTTTTCTGCAGGTGAGCAGTGAGCTGAGGACCTCTTGTGTCACCTCATGGGGGAGAGAGTTGCAGGAAGTGGGGACTACTTACCCAGAGGGACCCTGCTGTGGCACTGAGCACTCTCTTGCTAGGCATGAAAGTTGAACTAATATTTTCCCTGCCATTTTTAACTTCTAGTCCACCCTCCTCCACTCACCTGATGGTCCAAAATCCTAACCCCTGTGGAGACCACAGTGTCTGCAGTTCATTGCCAGGTCCAGGCACTGCAAGGGCCATGGTAGAAAAGCTACACTGTAACAGTGTGCCCAGAAGTAGTGCAGACAAAGGGGGGAGGCTGTCTGGCTTGACTCTGTGAAAGTGCAAACCAGCTGTGGGAGGAGGCTTGTGAGCTGTGTGCCCCACCCTGCCAGCCACACACCCTGCACTGGGCCCAGCCAGAGTTGCTTGTCACACACTCCATCCTGCTAGAGCTGAGCTCTGTGTACCCTGCCCTGCCAGAGCCACCACACTTCTGCCCTGCCAGAACTACCCTGCTGCTGGAGCCATGCTCCCCATGCTCCTGGAACAATGGCTATAGCCACCTCCTTGGCAGTGGGAGCCGCCTGGGAGCTGCACAGGGATAACTCACATGAAGATTCAGCAACAGTAGAGTGATCCTGCTGGGGTCTAGTCTTGGAGAGACACCTCCCAACTCTGAGGACTGCCAGAGGAAGCCAGACATTGCCCTATAGGGATACCAGTGCTGCAGAGTGGCTGGGGCAAAGGCACAGTGGCTGAGGAAGAAAATCATTTGCTAACTTGTTATCCTTAGGTTTGGATTGAGCTCAGGTGGAACACTCTCTAGTTGCCATTGAGCACCTGAGGCAGGCAAGCCTCACCCTCCCTAGCTGGCAGGTGGCAGAGGGTGGTGGCTGGGCCGAGGGGGCATTGACTTTCCTTTGATTCTGGCAGATGTAATGTTCTGGCACATTTGCTTATTGGAGGAAGCAGGACCACAGCCCTGTGGGGTTACCAGTGACTGGCATGAAAGAGGTGCAAGGTGGGGAAAGATATACCAGCCCCCTGGTCTGACTCTGCTACTGGGTGGGCCTTTCTGACTCCACAGAGCACTGGAGTGAGCCACATTTGAGCAGCCAGTAACCCTCTGCTATCTAGTTGCTGGAGACCTTTCGAACTCTCACTTGAGAGTTGGTACTGACTGGGTCAATTGGTTTGGAACTCCTAACCTGGGCCAATCACCCAAGGACCCTCTCAGGTGGTATCCTGATTGGGTGGCAACAAGAAGGGTTGATTTTCCTCTCCCAGGTGCCCCTGGTGGGTGGGGGTGTCTTAGTTGCTTGTATTTCTCCACAGCTGAAACTTCAACCCAGAGTCACTGATCCACTAGGATTGGAAAAAGACCAGCTGAATATAAGACAGAGCCACCTAACCCCACCACACCAACTAGGTCCCCAGAGCCTCAGACTATAATACTGTACAGGTCCTTTGCAAAGCTATAGGGGAGAAAGCTACAGTCACCAAACAACAACAACAACAACAACAACAACAACAACAAAACACAAAAAACCCCCAAAAGCTACAGTCACCAGTCACAGATCCATGGCAAAGGGCTGGCTAATCCCTACTCCAGGACCCCCCAATCCAATTTCACCTTACCTGCCAATCTAGCCAAATGGTGAAAAATAATCATGGGGCAGAATCAGTGAAAAAATTCTGGTGACATGAATAATCAGAGTAGATCAACTCCACAAGAAATAACAAAACAGACACACCAGATGATCCCATTTATAAACAAATGGCTGAGATGTCAGAATCTGAGTTCAGAATTTGGATGGCAAATAAGATCAAGAGAATGGAGGTAAAGATGGAATTAGAATTTCAAGGAGTAATTCAAAAGTTGTCTCAAGAATTCAATGAATTGAAAGACAAAATCACCAAAGATTTTGACACATTGAAGCAAAAACTTGTAGCCCTCAAAGATCTGAGAGATATAGTAGAATTCCTCAGTAGTAGAATGGGGAAGGCAGAAGAAAGGATCTCTGACATTGAAGATAAAGCTTTTGAATGCTCCCAAATACTCAAAGAGGAAGAAAAGTGAAGAGCAAAAATGGATCATTCTCTCAGAGAGCTCTTGGATAATTCGAAAAAAATTAATATTCACCCTATAGGAATTCCTGAAGGAGACGAGGTTGCTTCAAAAGGCACATTTGCTCTACTGCAAATGATAAGTGGGGAGAATTTCCCAAACATGGCAAGAGATTCTGAAATTCAGATAGCAGACAATTTCAGAACCCCAGCTCGACTCAACCCTAATAAACCATCCCCCAGACACACTATAATTAACTTTGCCAAAGTTAATATGAAGGAGAAAATTCTGCAAGCAGCCAGACATAAGAAAACCATAACCTACAAGGGGAAAAATATTAGAATGACTGCAGATCTCTCTGCTGAAACCTTTCAAGATAGAAGAGGGTGGTCATCAACTTTTAATCTCCTAAAATGAAATAACTGTCAACCCAGGATCCTGTATCCAGCTAAACTGAGTTTCATTTATGATGGAGAAATTAAATACTTTAATGACATTCACATGTCGAAGAAATTTGCCATAACTAAATCAGCTCTCCAGGAAATTCTCAGACCTATCCTCCAATCTGACCAGCACAATCCCCTACTACCAAAGTCAACTCACTCAGAAATTTTTGATCAAATTCCAACTTTCACAGTGGCAAAAGGATTAAAAATGTCCACTGGACTTTTGAAAAATTCAATACCCCAAATTCTACCAGGCTTATCAATATTCTCAATT